GAACTGTACCAGGAGAAGGGAGCAAGTTGAAAGGACCTGGCCTTTATTAAGCATTGGCTGAGGGCCTGGCCCTACTCTGGGAATTTTGCATATATTGTTTCTTCCAGTCCTCACAAACGCCTTGCCATGTAGATATCATTCTCACTCTTTGATGCGTCAGGAAACACATTCAGAGAGGATAAGTGATTTGCACAAACTCAAACAACTCACGACTGACTGAGCTGCACAGGGACCCTAGTCTTTCTTTCTTGAGAGCTTGAGGTTTTCACCACACCTCTGTCAATAGTGTAGAAATATTCCCGCTCCCTGACAGTTCTTGGCAGACTATTGGTGACTCGGAAGGCCAAGGGCAGTAGTCATTAACCCGTGTTGTCTTCCCAGCTTCCTCCTATTTGTCTGTGGTGTCTCACTTTGAGCAAGTGGCCCCGGAGCTTGAGCAATCAAAGGACCGTGATGTCGAAGACCGCACTGGCTGACTCAACGCTGTCTGGGTCAGCGTCCTTATTTAGTCCCTTCCTCTTCTTGGTTTCGGATCCCAGCCCGCGTGTGTGTCCTTTGCACAAGGAACAGGTGGCCTTCCACGATTCCACAGGATGGCAGTCCACAGTGTTTGCTGTGATTGGTCTCATGACGCACAGTCCATTTTTTATGGCCCCAGAGATCAGCGGGCACTTGAGTTTTGTAGACAGAAGTGAAAGGTCTCTGCCAAGAGTTGCCCACGCTCCTGGCGTTTCCTTCAGCCTGGTTGCCTTTTTATTTGTGTCCCTAACAGATGTCCTGGATTTAAAGAACTTGTTCATTTTTCAGGTAACATTGTTGTTACGGTACAAAATTAATTTTGGTGAGGTGATGAGGTCAGAAGTACATCGGGCTATTCTTTTATGGCCTCATTTGTGCAAACATTTTATGAACTTAATTCATGTATTTACTTTGGGAACTAAGAATGTGACACTTACTGATATATTCATTTAGTATCTGTAAAAACATATATATAGTCTTTCTGACATTTATGTTCCTGGTTTACAGGGTTCACGGAATCAGACAAGGGAAATGGGATCCCCTTAATGGCTCGTCATCATCACCTTCATCCGGTTTAGTCAAACATCTGTTCTCCTCAGGGCCCACCCCTCAAGGGTGTGGAGGGGGAATCATATTTTTCTACCATATCCATATTTATATACGGATGTTACAAAATTGATATTATACAGTATATGCTCTCCTATATCTGACATTATTTACTTAAACATATTTCATAACTATTTCCCCCAAGTCAATAAATATTTCCCTGAAGCATAATTTTTCAAGGCTGTGTACTATTCCTTTTCAGGATGTGACATAATTTAACTAATCTCATATTGTTAGAAATTCTATTTGCTTCCAATTTGTCTTTGCTATAGAACAATGTTTAAAAATATTTTTGTGTGTGGATTTTTGTACTGAGCCATTCTTATTATAAATTTACCTAAGTATGGGATTACTGAGTAAAGGGAACAAACTTTTTAAAGATTCTGCTACCTTGTGAAGCGGTGGGATTGTGCCGGTTTTCACTGTCTCCATCAGGTGTACTCCCTTTCCCATCGTTTGCCATTTCTGTGATGACCTCGTGTCCTAGCACATGGGTTGGGCTCCCTTAGGAGCAGGGAACACTCTGTCTGTGTTCATCTTCCCCCATCGGCTTGCTCTGCTGGACCTCTACCTCTGTAACTTCCTCCAACCAAGCATCTGTGGAGTCATAATGACTGTGCATCTCTCATTTCACTTATTAAATATCCGTATCGAAAGTTAGATGACCCACATGTGTCAGATTTGGCATTTACCGTTCTTTGTGAAGCCCAGTAACATGCTAGGAAGATTCTGTGGTGGCTCACAGATAAGATTTCTCCTCCAAGTAACTTTCTTATTCTTCCATAGCATGATTGGTATGCTTTTCTTTAGATAAAATTGATGAAACAAGGCATATAGAATTGAATTTTTGGATACCTACTCGGGATTCATCAGTAATAGCTGTAGACCTGTTTTTTCATCTGAAGATATATTGATTTGTACCCTTCTATCAGCCGAAATGCCTGTGCATCTAAATAACGATACCAATTCATTTCTTTGTCCTAAAATTCCTGTTTCTTCTTTGTTTCTCAGCCAGGTTAAAGGAATTCAGATAATATTTGCGTTGGGAATATAGATAGTCAGACAAGTGTACCAGCCACCAGGTTACTATGAAAACATAGGTGTTTGGCAAGGTACTAGGAAAATAAGTCCTCTCATTTGGCGCATACACAATGTTCTGAACAGCTGTTATGATTAATTAACTTTTCCATGTTGATGTAGGAAGTTTGACTAGCTCCTTGAAAACTAGCTCCAGCCAGCTTGTAGTCTGGTCACATGCCGAGAACAAGTCAAGTGAAAATGGACAAAGCCGAGCGACTGATCTTTGAAGAGGCAGTGATGAGTTTTTCAAAAGACATCTCAGTCTAGTGAATAAATTGTTACTTCTCTTCCTGAAAGATATTATTCTAGATGGGAATTATGAATAGACATTCGGATATTAACTTTTACTATGCTGTGTTTGCTACTGTCTGTTCGTATGTTGCAATCTCTGCTGCAAATCACCCTTCTCTGAGCTCTTTGTGGAAGGTCTGGCTTGGGGTTTGTTTACTTTTAGCCAGGCCGTTGTGTTCGGGCAGGCCTTCGCTACACACCGCTTGTTTTCTCACTCAGTTAAAAGCCTTGGTCCCTGCGCAATGGCGCTGGACGCTGGTGGACTGAGTTGGAGTTTCATGATGGTCAACACTGCAATTTTTCAAGCACTTACCGTGTGCCAATACTTATTTGACAGATGGTGGAACAGGCTCACAGTGGCTGAGTCTCTTAGTCAAGGTCATGCAGATAGCAGGCGGCAGTGGGATATTCAAACCCCCTCCCTTAACTCCAGCGCCGGGGCCCTCCCATTGTAGGACACTTACGCATCTTTCCATGCATCTGCTTATGCTGTCGGTATGTGAGATACCGGCAAGAAATCTCAGGTAAAGAAGGGAAGACAGAGCTCATCCAGCTAGTCATCTTACACTATGCTTCCAGAAACATTGTCATCAAGAAATGTCAGCGTTTGATAGCATAATTGGTTCTCTTCTTCTCAAACAAGTTCTGAAGAAGGAGCAGAGCCCGAACATAAGGAAATTCTGCTTTTCATTCCACACAGGTAGCTTTTTCTGTATTCCTGAAATACAACTTATAGAAAACTGAGAAACCACAGGGAAATTAAAAATAGCACAAACACTAGCACTCACATACACGTGCCTCATCAGCACATGTGGAAAACACATTTGTCTTGTGTGGCACAGTTAATGGCAGCAAGGACAATGAATAAAACGGTCTGTTTTTAAATTCAGACACTCTAAAATCCACCTGTGGTTTGTTAGGAATGTTGAGAATGGTGAGGTGGCCTCGCAGGTTGAACAATGGCAAAAACATATGGGCATTCAGAGGAACATTTCTTTAGCCATTGACTTTCTTTAAAATTCTGGGCAACTTGCTCATTTCTATATATTCTAAAATAGCTTGGTGGAACATTGCAAAGACTTTTTTCAAGTTAAATATTTAATATCAGTCATAAATTCTTTGTAACTACTGGTTCTCAGTGGCCTGTTCCCCAGCAAGAGATATTGCAGATACGGTATTTCCTAAGGAAGTCAGGACAGGCCAGAATAACCCAAATTTCCCTGAGATAATAGTGCCCGTTCTGTGCTAGGCTCTTTCCTTTTCATACAACATCCCTTTGAGGTAGGGAATGCGGTCGCATCCAATATCCAGAAGAGGAAACTGAGACCCAAAAAAGTTTAAGTAACTTGCCTACTAACCTAGTAGGAAAATAGTGCAGTCAGGATTCAAACCCTGGTGGTTTGGGGCCAGCATCTGGGCACTTAACCCCACGCCATACAACTCAGAGAGAGCCAGGCGACTGGTTGGGAAGTTAATTTTTCATTGAATACTGCTCTGTGTTCAAGGTTACAAAAAGGACCCTAACCGAGGCTTTCTAAGAGCACTATACCCATCAGCAACATGCTGGTAGCCTAATAGACCGGAGAAAGAATAGGAAGGAAAGAGCTTAAGATTCAGGACTGAGGATCTGTGAAATTCCTAAAGACCCACAGGACTGAGAGGCCCTCACGGAGCGTCACTTCCTGCACAGAGCCATGGGATGAGACGAAAAGAAAATATCTCTAGGTGGAAAATTGCTTTAGATGTCATGAGGGGTTCACACTATTAGAAGGAATGACTGATGCTCACCATTCTATCTTTTGAGTTCATGCCTAACATTTCAGCGATTCTTGACTTTGGCTTCTGGCACGTGCAAAGCCACGCAGCAGACGCTCCTTACCCCCAGCATGGGTCTTTCCCATGCACTGTGCTGTCATAAGTGGACACACCCCCATGGAGCTCCAGCGCTCTCTCTTTAAAAACATACAGGGTTTCGCAATTCCTTGGCCTTGCTTGGCCCACCCGCCTGGGTGGGGCTGTTTGCTTCTCAAAGCAAAATGGCTTCTATCTTTGGGAAGCTCATCTAAAATGGGCAAAGCCACTTTATTTGTAGGCTAATCATAAGGCCATAATTGGATCAGGTCTATCTGCCCGGAACCCTGAGATATTTATAGCAAGTGCTTTCTCTGAGCCTGCCCCTTCCATTGTCTACATCAGAGGGAAAGTCAAAGAGGAAAGAGGCTGGTTAAGTCGTGGGGTATTGCTTAGGGGTGATTCATCATGGCTGTATTTTAGCCCTGGGTAGGACATATAGATAGCAAAAAGAGAAAAAGAGAAAGAAGAAAAGAAAAGAGCAGCATTTTGTGCTGGGAAGCAGGTGCAGTCAATCCTTGCTGTGTTGCTATTGCCTCTGAGTATATTCAGGCTGATTTAAGCATTCTCTGGATTGTGTATTGTGGTTGTTTTATTTCGTTCTGTTTTAACTTGGGGTTTATTTGTTTGTTTGTGGTTATTTTGTCTTATTGTTTATTTAATAGCTTTGTTTTTACTTAGGGGAACCACCGTGGACAAAGAAGATACTTTAGAGTGAGCATTGTGAGTTGGCACAAGATAAAACTGGGAAGGTGACCCAGATCCTAGCCCTGGCTGTCAGGCAGAGTGACCCTGGACCGGTCTGTAGCTCTTCCATTGTAAAAGGTTTGGTGATCCCCAAGCATGGCTGCCCCTCACAATGACCCAGGGGGCATTCTAAAATGAGATGCCTGCTATAAAGCATGGGGGACATTTGGGGAGTGAAGGAATTGTTCTATATCTTGATTATGATAGCAGTTACGTGACTGCATGCTTTTGTCAAAATCTGAGATCTGTACGCTAAAAAGGGTGAATTTTACTGTATGCAAATTATCTTAATTTTAAAATTATAAAATTTAAAAATAATTTTAAAATTCCCTGAGTATTGAAATATTGAAAAAACATGCCTAGGCATCACACCAAATCAACTACCTACTGAAGGGTATCTGCTCTTTTAACCATCTTTGTGCTTGTGAATCTAATGGGAACCGACCCAAACATTCTATGTTGTCGTGGTCCCAGGTTAAGGTGTTTGTTAGCTGAGGTCGGAAAGTCAAGAGAAAGCTGGGTGGCAGAGAGCAGTGTGAGTAGCTGCAGTCACAGTGTGTCTGGACAGCCCACTGAAATCCCATGAAGACTGGAGGGAAACTCTGTGGCTGAGCTCTGAGCTAGATACTCAGTTAGAGCATCCTTGATGATCAATGAGCAGAAAATGTGGGAGCAGCCAACTACCAATCACTTATTAGAAACCAGTGAGGAGATGGAGGATCTTGAACTTAGAAAGTATACTAATAAAAGATATTGATTTTTTTCTTAGCATTAAAACAACAGAAACAATGCTGTGGGATGAGTCTGACACCAATCACACGACAGCACGTAAGCATCCAGCAGAAACAGGCTCACTGTCTTGAACTACCTGGATTTTAACCGAGAAGAGAATGCATCCTTAGGGCTAACAGATGCTTTGGGCCCAACATCAACCTCTGACACAATTCAGAGATTTATGGAAATAAGATATGAAAAAGATACATGAGACCCTCACAATGAAAGTGTTACTGACAGCATTCAGAACACATTGGACTCCTAATAGCAAAATGGAATGTTGAAAAAGTTTAGTTTTGTTGAAAGTTCATGGAAGAATGTAGTAGGTATGCTTTAGGATGTCTCTCATCCACAGTACATTTCCTTAGGATCATCCCTTACCAACAGACTCTCCTGAAGCCGAGGGCTTAGGTGACCACATCTCTATAGCCATCACCCCCGCCACAGCTGATGGAACCAGGGCGACGCCAGTGTCAGCTTGATAGGGAATACTGAACACAACCAGACCAAGATGGTCTCTACGGAAACCAGAAAGCAAGGTCACAGAGGACGTGGGATGCAATTGTGTGTGGAAAGCCAAAGGCACGGCAAGCTGGAACTAGAGGGAAGGGGTGGACACAGCAGCGACAGCAATAATCGAGGCAGCTGACACTTATGCTGTGTGTGCCAGCCACCTCTCTCTCTCAGGTGGGTACCTCTCTCAGGTGGGTAATACCTGTCACTTTCTTGATTGTAAAATGAGGACACCAAGACTTGGATGTGATCACTTTCCTAAGGTCGCACAGCTGGGACGTGGCAGAGGCGGAAGGCAGCCCAAGTGACGCAGCTCTCAAGCTCGCTTACAAAATCCCCACAAGCATCCTTCTGCCTCACAGGAAGCCCAGGAGGCAGCTGGAGGGAGGAGGATGGGAGGGACGTGCAGGAGAAGCAGACCACGAGACGCAGCGGGGCAGGGAGAACATTGAGCAGCGGCCTCCTGCCTGAGAAGCCTGGCGTCCCAGCTCCAGTCCGCACGTGAGCTTGCTGTGCTTGGCGGGAGGTCTGCGTCCTACGCCACCCTCCCTCTCCTCCTCCGTGCCTTTGAGGAGAACGAGTTTCAGTGGATTTCTGTTCCTTGACGTCAAAGAATGCTTCTAGAATGAAGAAGCATCCACAAGGATGGAGGGGTTGGGTGGACATTTCTTATACAGGGGTCAGGGCAGAGAGCATTATCTCAACGTCCTCTGGTTGGGATGCTATTTTTTCCACCTTATAGGTTTAGAAAGACGAGCACCTGCAATTCATGAAGGGAACGTCTTCTCAAGGGAAACTCTGCAAGAGGAAACCAAGCTGCCGCGTGAGCTTGGAATTACTTGGAATACCCTTGGCTAAATTACAGCTGCTGAATCCAGTTTCTTAAGATGTTGTCTTTTAGGACCTTTGCCCCAATTTCCTTAAAGGAATTACTTGTTCATTTTTCAAGGCTTTTACCCACCTCTAGGACCCTCACCCCACTCATCACCTGCCTCTGATGCAAGGCACCACTTACAAGCTGCTGCTCTCCTCGAGATGAAAAAGCTGGAATCCTAAACAGTGTGCCAAGTCCTTGGTATAGCTTTGGGAGGAAGCTGTCCTATCGTGGAAACGACATGAGCTGGGAAGCTCCCTTGGTCCCTTGGGTTTGCCAGGGAGGATCAGACCAAGGGAGCTTCCAGGAATGCAGGAGCAGGTACACCAAGGAGAGAGCCTTCGTCTTTGAAAGGCTCTGATGGAGGTCAGCTGGGCAGATATGGAATCACCCAGGAGGGGAGGATGCTCCAACTACAGGGCAAGCCGGCCACTGTGCAAAGTTCAGAGCCATGGCTCAGGTGGCTCAATCTTTGGTTTTTCAGGGTCTGGAGAGCTGGCTCCGGTTTTTCCAATTACACTCAAACACACCAGCAAGGGAAAAATCCACTTTGGCTCACTCATTTATTTATTCTCCTCTCTTGTGACTTCCCAAAGGGCTTTATGAATGCTGTGTGACTTTAGCTCTTTGAGCCCTTGAAGAATGGTTTGGGAACCAACAACCTTTTCCTCTAAGCAAATTTTAGCGTTCTTTCTGAGTTGAGCCACTGAGGACTTCCTGTTTAAGGCTGAAAATATTTAAGTGAGCAAGCAGCTCCAGCCAGTTTAAGGGGCACCGGAGTTGTTGCAAGGCAGAGCATTTTAGTACACGAGCATCAGCCTGGCACAAAGTCACGGGTTACCTCACCTGTCCTCCGAGTTAATCTTGTTATGTTAATGGGTGTCCTTTCCCTACTGTGGAGACTCGATGTTCTTGGCACCTGGACAGCGCCCTAAGGCTTGACTCAGAGGCGCACAAGGACTTGTGGAGAACTTGGTCATTGCCAGTAGGGGCTGCAGACACTCCCTGACCAGCGAGTGGTCCCAGATTCCCAGGAATGTGTGCACCTGAGGACCCTGAAAGACCTGCTCCAGAAAAGCAGCCTCAGATGAAAGGGAGGGACTCCTGGGGGTTCCTTTGGGACTCAGCATATACCTTACCTTCTTTACGGCATCATGGCCGTCTTCTCCTTTCCCAAGGGAAGCATCATTTTCACACCTGCATGGTGCCCTGGATGTGATGTCCTAGCTCAAGTGTTCTTACACTCCTGTTCTTCTGAAGAAGCTTGATCTGTCACGGAAACTTGCTTCATAAAACACAGAACACCTAGTGTCAGCAGTGCACGAGAGAGGGCTAGGGAACTCCATTTAGGGTGCCCCTCAGCATGTGGCGGGAACAGCCCCCAATTACCCTACAGGGTATTTATTCATTTTCCTGCTCCCTGGGTGGGTAGCCTGTGTCTTTCAAGAGTGGGGGCCTCGTCGGGCAGCTCCACACTGCCTGCAAAGCCTGGGGATGTGCCATGGCCTCCGAGTCGAGTGGACTGCCAGGTGCAGGAAGAATCCGTTATTATCACTCTTGGCCTGGTGTATAATCCACAAAGTGCCTAGGAGAAAACTCACCTGCTAAATAAGGGTTCATTTTCTGATTTAGGAAAAAAAAAGAATAAAGCAAATTTTCTAACCTTCAGCATATTTTTCAATTGTGTTGAAAAAGTTGGGTCTTTTCTAAAACTTTGGAAGGAGAAGGAGATTTGAAAGGAAAGTCTGCTAGACACCCCCCACCCCCCATCCCCCTGCCGGAAAAAAGGAGCTAAGTAAGAGAGGCAGAGGTCTTTTTTGTTAACTAGCTGACGCTTTATTCCTTGGGAGGCCGGTTAGAATCCCGTCTCTGCCTCTCTGCCCGAGGGCCCCAGGGTAATTCACTCAAGGTCAGACCAGCTACTTCACAGGACCGGCATGCAGACTGAATGAGAACATGTTTGTCAACTGAGTAGCCCATCCTGGCACACAGTAGGCCTACATAGAACATAGGGATTCCTGTCTAGTCTTTTGTGCTAGAAGTTTTTGGCCATTCTTCCAAAGGAGGCATCGCAGAATCAGTTTCCAGATTTCCTTCCCGTAAGAGCCACTTCAAACCATAAGATAAGAAGAAAGCATGAAGAAAAGGCCTTCTGGCCCTTTCCATTAGGGATACTGACAATAAACTGGTGAGAAACCTCCTTTTCACTTACTTTACTCATTATAGGCTCTGTATCAAAGTTAAGGGAACCTTATCAAGATAAAGGCACACACTCAGAGTCCTGGAATTTGCTGTTTCCCAGAATATCTTAGAGGAGGGAATTCATGAGAAGCCCACATGGATGGCCGGCGCCACAGATGCATGAAGTTGCTGAACAAGAATCATGGTCATTTGGGGCGGCTCCTAAGTCAGGGAGGCATCATTTCTGTCATATTTGGCTAAGAGCCATTTGACTAGAGCACAGATGGTCAATATATTCACACATATGGGAATGTGCACTTCCGTTAAAATTTTGGGGTTTAGGGGGCTGGCGGGGTGGAGTAGCGGTTAAGTTCGTGTGCTCCACTTCAGTGGCCTGGGGTTCGGGGGTTCAGACCCTGGGGGTGGACCTATGCACAGCTCATCAAGCCATGCTGAGGTGGCATCCCACATACAAAATAGCGGAAGATTGGCATGGATGTTAGCTCAGGGACAATCTTCCTCACACACACACAAATAAAAATTTGGGGATTTGGGGGCCAGCCCAGTGGCCAAGTGGTTAAGACTGTGCGCTCCGCTGTGGTGGCCCAGAGTTTCGCTGGTTCGGACCCTAGGCGAGGTCATGGCACTGCTCATCAGGCCACGCTGAGGCAGCCTCCCACATGACACAACTAGAAGGACGTGCAACTAAGATATACAACTATGTGCCAGGGGGATTAGGGGAGATAAAGCAGAAAAAAAACAAAAAAAAAAGATTGACAACAATTGTTAGCTCAGGTGCAGATCTTTAAAAAAAAAGAAAAAATTCGGGGGTTTATCTATTTTTGTTTAAATTTTTTTTAAAGTTTTTTGAATAAAAGCAGCTCTCCTCTGTGCCCCTGAGCTGCCTGCACAGGCCCTTAAGGCAGCCTGACTTAGGACTCTCACCCCATTTCTGAGGTGTCTCCCCACCAAACTCCGAACTCATCAAGAGCTTGGGTCCAACCCTCTGTTACTTTGGTCAGTAGATGTACGAGCTTGGGCATTATTTACCCAGCTTGGCCTCCATTTCTTTTCTTCCCCTATATCATGGTGATAATAATAGTGTTCACTCCCTGTCATGCTTTTTGTGAAGGTGAAATGGGATAGTGTTTGGCATAAGGAAAGAGGTCTACAATTGTCATTATTAGCAGTATGGTGATGCCAGTGTCTAGTGTGGTTGTGACTCATATGAGACTCTAAAGCGTTTTAAAAATTGATTTATTGCGGCTCAACCACAGTCCTGCTTATGCAGCTCTGTGCTCACTCTGTGCTTTGACCTACAGGGCTGAATGTGGCTGGAGAAGAGCAGCAACTGTGTTGATTGGCCTCACTTTAAATTCCTGACAGTTAATCTCAAGTGGGCACTTACACTGCGCAGCACTTCTCTATCCACTTGTCACCTCACTCTCTGCAGCGACTGGTTCATACTTTCTTCTCTAGCCTCAAACCTCCCCCACTCTCACTCGTAGCTAATAATCATGCTTCTGTTTCAATAAAAACAAGAAAAAAGATGCAATCAGAGGACCTTGCTCCCATCCTCCCCGCCTCTTCTCACCTGCCTGTCTAGAAGCCTACGCATTCTCTGTTTCTCTCCTGTCACTGCAGGTAGACTGCTGTGCCCTTGGCTAAACCAACCCTCCACTCAAGAGCTTTAACCCAGCCCCCCTTGCCCACCCGAGCACGTTGCTCCAGCACTCTCCCCTCTCTCTGCACCAATGATTTTTCCCTTTCTGCTAGTCATTCCCACTGGCATACAGATGTTTCTTTTTTCTCCCACCTTTAAAGATCTTATTCTGACCTTCTTTTCTCCTTCAGTTATAGCCCATTTCTCTCATTCCCTTTAGCATGAAGCTCCTTGAAAGAGCTGCCCTTATTGGCTGTCTCCAGTTTCTCTTCTCCCACCCTCTCTTGAACTCATTCCAATCAGGAGCATCCCCTGCCACTGCACAGCAGCTGCTCTCGCCAAGTCAGCCACGCCTTCTGCGCGCTAATTCCGGTGATCAGATCTCAGTGCCCATCCTATGTGATCCATCATAAGCTCTTGCAGAGATGAGGACTTCCTCTTCTCCCCAGGATAACACACTCCTGGCTTCTCACTTGCCTCTCGCTGTTTCTCCCCAGTCTCCTTTGCTGATTCCCCCACCTCTAAATGTTGGAGAACCTCAGGATTCAGACCCTGTCTCTCTTTTCTTCACTGTCTGCACTCACCCCGTATGTCCTTCCTACTGCATGCTGAGAACCTTCCTACTCAGCGTCAGCTTCACCTGCCAGAGTTGGAAATGCCCCTACCCCAGACAGGCTGAATCAGAATCTGCCTTTACCTAGATCCCAAGGTGATCCATTTGCATGTTAATATTTGTGATCCCCCTAAATGATCCGATCTAATTTCATGGCTTTAAATGCTATTGATTTTCTGAGTTGACGCTGAAATTTATATCTATAGACAAGAATCTTCAGCAAAATACAAATTCGTTCATCTAACTACCTATTGACTTTTCCACAGGGATGTTTTATAGTCATTCTCAGCTTAACCCTTCCAAAATTGAGCTTCTGATATTCCCACTACACCTCCTTCTCTAGTATTCTTCCTTCTCTTCATTAATAGCAACTCCGGTCTTCCATTGCTCAGGCCAGAGTCCTTGGGCTCACATCTGGTCTGCCTCTTTCCCGTCTCTGCTCTGTCGACAATTCAGTCAGCTCTGTGTTTGCGGTGAAGTTGGAACTTACCTGCCCTCGTCAGCCCCGCTTTCTCAGACCAACTCTGCTTCCGCTCCTTCCTCTAGTCTATTCTGAAAATGACAGCCAGAATTAATTTATGTCACTCGTCTGTTCAAAGCCTTCCAGTGTTCCCACCTTACAGAGATATGATCCACGGGACCCCATGTGACTGTTCCCCCGTCACCTCTCTGATTCAGGGGGACATGCTCCTGCCACAGGACCTTCTTGTTCTTCCTGTTCTCGCCTGAATGCTTTTCCTCCAGATCCCCGTGTGGCTCCCTTCTTGCCTCCCTGCAGGCTCTACTCCAAAGTGACCTTCATGAGGCCTTCCCTGGCCTTGCTATCTAAAATCTCAGCCTCAGTGCCTCCCTGCACTTCATACCCCTTTCCCTTATTTACAAGGTCATTTATTTATTAGCAGATCTAACCTCCTCTCCTCTCTCCCTTTCTCTTTGTATTATCCAGGGTTCTCCAGAGAAATAGAACCAATAGGATGTAAATATACAGAAAGAGCTTTGTTGCAAGAAATTGGCTCACCTGATTATGGAGACTGAGAAATCCCTCCATCTGCCATCTGCAAGTGGGAGGCCCAGGAAAGCTGGTGGGGTAGGTCCAGTCCAAGCCCGAAGGCCCAAGAACCAGGGTAGTCAATGGTGACATCCCAGCCTGTCTGAAGGCCTGAGAACCAGGGCAAGTTGACACATAAAATGAACCATTTCCCTCTCTGTCTCTCTCTCTCTCTGTCTCTATATGTATGTACACACATATTTGTTTGTTTCTGGGCCTTCATCATGTTCCGTTGATTCTCTTTGTCAACATCAGTGAAAAGCCCACACACCTTTGTGTAACTCTCTGTTCTTTGACGTCAGCATCGGCTCTTCTTGTCCCTTTGCTGTTTTATACACATTTCACAATCAGTTTCTTAAGGTCCATGAAAAATTTTGTCAGCATTTTGATTACGTTGAATTCACTTATAAGTTTAAGGAGCATTGACATCCTTATAACACTGAGAGTTTCTGTGTGAAATGGCATTTCTGTTTATTTAGATCTCCTTTAATACTGTCTGATAATGTTTTATATTTTCTCATGATGGTCATGCACATTTTTATGTTTATTCCTTTTTAGCAGATTTTTCCTAATGTTGTAGATGTTGTATATGAATTCTTTAGTAAGCTTTTTTTATTAGTGATGATTTTTAGATTTATG